AACTTGACAAGCATAGTAGCTTCTTAAAAGTTCATTCCAAATGGTGCAACCAATTTTGAAAACAGTCTGGCAGTTCTTCAAAAAGTTAAACATAAAGTCACCATATGACCTAGCAATCCCATTCCTAGGACCAAATCCAAGAGAACTGAGAACGTATTTCCAAACAAAACCGTGTACACCCATGCACATAATAGCATTATTTATAATAGCCAAAAGGTGGAAACAACCGAAGTGTCCATCAACTGATAAATGGAAAAAAACAAAATATGGTAGATGCATACCAGGGAATATTATTCGGACACAAAAATGAAGTAAGTAGCACATGCTACAACATGAATGAATCCTGAAAACACAGGCTTCTAACTGAAAGAAACCAGATCACAGACTATAAGAGTCCATTTATGTGAAGTGTCCAGAATAGGCAAATTCATAGAGACAGAAAGTTGACTGAATGGTTGGCAGGGGCTGACTGGCAGGCATAGAAGGTTACAGCTCAAGTGTTTGTTTTACTTAGTTTTTGTTAGGCTGTGGGGGAAATCTGCAAAACAAAAATTCTGTCAATAGTTTTAAAGAAATCACAATCATCACCCCCGTCAAAAAAATTTAAACCCTGACTGTCGTAATTGGCAGGTTTTAAAAAGACACACTGTAACACTGTAATTTTTAAAAAATGAACAAGGCACCAGCCCAGAATGACTCTGTTGAGCATCGTCCCATGAACTGAAAGTCCCGGGTTCAATTCCCGGTCAGGGCACATGCCAGGGCTGTGGGCTTGATCCCCGCGGTGGGCATGTAGGAGATAGCTGACATGTTTCTCATATCGATGTTTCTCTTCCTCTCTCTCCCCCCCTCTTTAAAATCAATAAAGATGTATTTTTACAAAAATGAACAAGGTGCACTGGAGTACTTAAAAGGAGGTTGTAAAGGAGGTCAGAGTGGACAGCATCTGACCAGTAGGAATGTGCCAGATTGAGAAGAAAGGAAAAGTCATCCCAATTAAAAAGACTCAGCCTGGCCAGCATGGCTCAGTGGCTGAGTGTCAACCTATGAACAGAAGGTCATGGTTTGATTCCTGGTCAGGGCACATGCCCGGGTTGCAGGCTCCATCCCCAATGTGGGGCCTGCAGGAGGCAGTTGATCAATTACTCTCTCTCTCATCACTGATGTATCTCTCTCTCTCTCTCTGAAAGCAACAAAAATATTTTTTTAAAGACTCATTTGTTTCAATATTTGAGTCCCCAAGAAGGGCCTGGCAGAGTTCTATGGGCTGGGATTCTATGAAGAACACAATTCTCTGTTCTCAAGAAAATTACACTCTAGAAGGGACAGATCAGCAAGTAAATGAGCAAGAGATGTCCAGTTCCAGGACTATGGGCGAAGGGGAAGACATTTAGATTGTGTCACCCCGTGTGGCCCACGGCAGTCACATTCAGTCTGACCTGAAGTGACATAAAAGAGTCACCATGATCCTGGAACAGTCTGGAACTTGCCCAGTGCAGCAAGAACCCAAAGAACTTACACCCCCATTGCTAGGACAAGAAAGGAAGCACAGGCCTGCTGGTGGCGACCGCATGGTCCAGACAGGGATGAAGGCAGCCTGACTTAAGGTGGCAGCAGTGACAATTAGGAGAAACGAGTAAGTTCAGGAGACGCAGTGGAGGCAGGAGATGATAGAATTTGGGGTTTTCTGGACAGGCCCAGACTGGAGTTAATGAACTGGGATCTCGAGAGCATACAGCTCGCACTTGGACAATGATGCCGGCGATCACCTGGGCCAGGCAGGGAGGAGGCCGAGGTCTGAGTTCTGGCTCATTCGCAGCTCTCAGGGGCCCACCAGCCAGAGAAGGGACAGCACCTGACCACGAGAAGCTGCCTGTGGGGTGGCAGAAAACACCTAAGCCCTGACCGGTCTGGCTCAGTGGATAGAGCGTCGGCCGGCAGACTGAAGGGTCCTGGGTTCGATTCCGGGCAAGGGCATGTACCTTGGTTGCGGGCACATCCCCAGTAGGGGGCGTGCAGGAGGCAGCTGATTGATGTTTCTCTCTCATCCATGTTTCTAACTATCCCTCCCCCTTCCTCTCTAAAAAAAGATCAATAAAATATTTTTAAAAAAGAAAGAAAGAAAACACCTAAGTTCCCGTGAATGCCACCCACATGTCTCGCTCGGTCAACGATAGACGCTTAAACCCTCCTACCCTTCCCTGCCTTCCCTTTTCCAGGCTCCCCGCCGACCCGCTAAAACTTGGGGGTGACCGAAACGTTTATTTATTTCCCGCTCGTTGCTATATTTTATGCATGAGCTTGCCCCGTGAGGGTGAAAGGGGGTCTTTTGATAACTAGAACACCTTGGGGTCGGGTCACCCTTTCTAAAAACCCTAAGGCTCAAGTTGGACGCGCTCCCGCGATGCACAGAAAGGACGCCCCACGGCGAGTCTCCCGGAGGGACCACCGCGCCCCGAGCTGAACCGAGCGCG